TCCCCGTTGCGAAAAAAGCCCCCAAGAACACGTCTCCTCCGGTAGCAAGGTGACGCCGCTCATGCGATCTGTGTGGTCCCCATTCATATCGAATCCGTCATTGGATTTCGCATGAATAGTCGCTCTTCGAATTCGGCTTGCTGAGTGTTCTCGATTCTTTTTTTTTCTAGATTGCACGGATTCTCGGAAACATGAAACGTAAGAAAGAGAGTGGGGCTAGTTATCGGAAGAAGCGCAAGACTATAGAGGAATCGTTGAGTAAACAAAGAGGGAGTTTTCTGAAGTATCTTCTACCGAAAGGAGGTACCGCTGAAACGTCCGGGGAGGCGAATGATAGAGTCGAAACCCCAACTTATCAGAGCGGCATCGCCGTGTCTTCACAGACGTCTTCTGCAGAGAACCGAGTCGATCTCATTGCAGAGGTCGAAGCTATCCCTGAGCAAAGCCAAAGTCTCACCAAGGAAGATGTCCTTGCGGAGTATACCATCGATCAGCGAGGTGGAGCTTCTGTGCACAGTCTGTCCGATTCGAGTGAAGAGGACGACGATATTCGAGGCCATGATGGTTCGCTCCTCGATGACATCGGCACTTGGCCAGAGGGAATCGATGCTGCGCTCCGCAGGAAGCTAGTTAGTCGTGGATCTTCTGATCTTCAGAACCTGGATTTCGATTTCGAGAGCGCGACGCGCCCTGGCCAGGCCACCAAAGGTCGAGGTCGTAATCTCTCGCGAGAATGGTTCTTTCGCAGAGATTCGGACAACGAGAGAGTCTTGAGAAACTGGATGCTGTATTCACCTGCGAGGTCGGCTCTCTTTTGTTTCTGCTGCCGGCTTTTCGCCGGGGGAAAACATCCAGTTTCAATTCGATCGACGGTTTCTCCAAATGGTGGAAGTTGAACCCCAAGGTTCGCGAACACGAGATAAGCTTCATTCATCAGGATGCGGTCACGAAATGGGACGAGATGCGCATGAGACTCGAGAAGAATGCGACGATAGACGATCATAGGCGAAGACAGATTGAGATGGAAACGGAGAAACTCGAGGCAGTTCTGCAGAGGCTGCTGGACATAGTGAAGTACCTCGCGAAGCAGAATCAAGCATTCCGAGGTCATTTTGAGCAGCAGAAGTACGACTCCGATTTTGGAGGAGACTCCAGTCGAGGGAACTTTTTGGAGCTTGTTCATTTGGTAGCCAAGTACGATCCGGTTTTGCGAGAGCACCTCGTAAGGGTCCAGCTGTCGAAATCGAGGCAACTTACTTATCTCTCGAACAGAACGCAGAACAAGTTCATCGAAAAACTCGGTGAACGCGTTCGGCAAAAAATAATTGAGCGGGTCAAGACTGCCAAATATTTCACTATGATCTTCGACAGCACACCTGATCTGTCGCACAAGGACCAAACGAGTCAGGTTCTGCGATACGTCATCTTGGACGGCAAGGAAGTCAAAGTGACGGAGTCTTTCGTCGGTTTTATCGAAACAGAGAAAAAGGACGCGGCCGGCATCACCTCCATGATACTGCAGAGTCTTGAGAAGGACGGTCTCGATATACAACACTGTAGAGGCCAGGCGTATGATAATGCCGCCGTCATGTCTGGACATCGGTCAGGCGTTCAGAAGCGCATCAGAGATATAAATCCGGGAGCAGAATTTGTTGCTTGCAGCAATCATTCTCTGAACTTGGCCGGGGTCCACGCAGCTTCGGCATCAGTCAGATCCGTGTCATTTTTCGGGGTAATTGAGAAGCTGTTTTGTTTCTTCTCCTCGTCGACTCATCGCTGGAGTGCGCTGACCGCAGTAGCAGGAAGCCTCAAGCGGCTGATCGAGACTCGATGGAGTGCGAGAGGTGATGCTGTTGGTTCAGTGAAGAAGCACTACCTTGGGATCATTGGTGTATTGGAGAAGCTCACAACTGAAGTCGAGGACGCTGCAACCAGAGGTGACGCCGCTGTCTTGCTTGGGGCTCTGCAGACTCACCACTTCTTAGTCTTCCTGAATTTGTGGGATCCTGTTCTGAGAGAGATCAACTCCACTCAATGCTATCTTCAGACGAAGGGGCTGGATCTGCACCAGTGCGACTTGCGACTGAGAGCACTCGAGTTTTTCCTCACCCAGAACCGAGATACGCTCGTCGAGGAAGCTCTGACGATGGCGGAGAAAACGTGTGGAGAGCTAGAGATTCCATTAAGCAAACCTACGAGACGGAACGACGCTTCGCTATCTTATAGTCAAGAGATACGACGCGACATGTATGCCTCAATGGACAGGATTACTCAAGAAGTCAAGTCGCGGTTCAATCAGATTCACTCGATTGCCGAGAAATATGAATTCCTGATCCCGCGAAACCTTCTGAACGCTGACTACCTTTGTACTTTAGAGGAACATTCAAAGGACATCGACTTGGAACTTTTCGTATTCGAAAGAGTTCGGCTTCAGACTCTTGTTGCGTCAGCCGACGACGAAGAACAAGCTCAAATCAGGACAAAAAGGTCCTTTCGAGCTCTTACAGTTCATTCAGAGTATGCGCTTGGAAGCTCGTTGCCGAATATAGTGGTCCTGCTTCGAATCTTCCTAACCCTAGCAATCAGCGTCGCTTCCTGTGAAAGGAGCTTTTCTAAATTAAAGCTGATAAAAAATCATTTGCGATCTACCATGGGAGCCTCGCGTCTCAACAGTCTTGCGATACTATCTATTGAGCATAAGCTCACCGACGAGATCGATTTCGAAGATGTCATTCAGGAGTTTGCGGAAAACTATGCCCGCTACTCATCTAATGATAGAAGACTCATTTGAAACCTTCAATGTGACATCAAAGAAACCCATGAATAATATACTTGTGCTTTGTTTTTCCCTCCATCGTCTGAATTTTCTATCCAAGGAAACGATTGAAGCTCCTTAAACTCGATTCTTGAAAACTTCCAACGCAGAAGTGTTAGCCTGACCCCCTGAAGAGCGCAAGCACGAATTGGAGGGGGCGGCAAATTCGATCGTCGCCCCGGGCGGCACCATGGACTTGCACGCCACTGTGTCGACGAGAGGAATATCTGGCGATTTGCGATATTGCGTAAATCGCGACAGTTTTGACTTTCCGGAGTTTTGACGGGAACAGGAGCTGCGCTGAACAGGAGCCGAGAGCAATTGGGGAACTTCACAAGAGCCAATCTCATCCGACTGGAAAGAGCGTAATGGCGACATGCTTCAATGTCGCGCTTGCTTTCAGCGATTCCAGCAACGATGAACCAAGGGTTTTCGTCAGGTCTATTATTCCACCACGTTCGCCGTCACCGATGCTATTGGTTTGATTAATCAACACATTTCTTCATATACCCTGGCTCACTATAAATAACTAATGTTCTCCTCCTTATGAGAATTCCCACCATGCGATATGCTGACTCAGAAGTCGGGCAGACGTCTATCCGGTAGTGCACTCTTCAGATCGTCGTCGTCGTCTGATCGCAAACCGGCAGAGACTGTATCAATTTTCAGAAAGTGGCGATGGGCAAAGATTCTCAATATAGCGTAGTGTGTTCTATCGAAGCGTGACCAACACTCGGCGAGCCGGAACGACGGTTTAGTAGACTCCGGCTGAGCGTACAATCCGCAGTCGGTTGAATCGGGTCAGAGATTGGGAAAAGATGGATCGAAAAGCGCGAGAACATAGGAGATTCGGAATCCGCGAATTTCGGAGGATTTACCCTGGGCGAGGTCCCTGTCGATGATCCCCCACAGGAGGCTAGGGAGGAGCTCTCGAGTTGCGCGATCGAAACCCATGAATAACGTAATAAAGTACGGACCGCAAGCTGAGAAATGCTCGATCCGATTCTGTTGCGAGGGGAAATCGGCGGCAAGAGGCGCGGAGCTATGACTCGAGCGCCCGGAGCGGGGCTCCTGACATCGTGCACCGGAATTGAACAGTAACGTTGCTATTAGCGGATGCGAGAAAGCCAATCTAGCGCTTACAAGAAAGGCTAAAAGAGATTGGTCGAGCCGATAGGTCGTTCGGTGCTCGCGAGCATCGCCGCTGCTTCGGCTGTTTGCAGCCTGCTCGGCTTCCCGGCCGACCGACCGACCGACCCATCCACCGACCGCTCCCCCTCTATCTGGCTTGCTTGCATTCCGCGCACGGTCGTTGTAATTGTACTGTTTATAGCATTAAAAGCAGCCATTACCCCGGCAGAAGCTCATTCGACCAGATGCCGGAGAGAGAACGCATGATCAAGCCCCCGGAGCTCGCTCGGAGCGAGCAGTGTCGGAGTCTCGCTTTGTTGGCCGCCCTATGTACCGAAGTCTGGTGGTCAGTCATTCTGGGGCTGTTCACCGCAGATCCTCAAAACCAATGGAGTGGATAATTTCAAAAGTCTATGACGAAAAAAGTCCCCTCTGTGGGAGCAATGTAGCGGAGAGTTGTTCTCGACCGTCGGGCGAAGTGCTGACCCCCAAGATAAATGGTCGTGAAACTTCAAAGACACATGAGTTCGCTTGAGAGGGCAATCTGACTTGAGGGTTCGCCTGTGAGATGCAGGGCATTCCGAACGACCGAGCGCCGGAGTCTACGACAATAATAACAAGCTTTTCGTATACTCGGGGCGCGACGATAATAATTACAGAGCACCAGATGACGCCTAATGGACATACAAATGGTCTAACGCTGGTGATTTTATCTGACGGAGAAAGAATATGAGTGCAGAGGGTGTGACCGCGCCGCTCATGATGAGCGACCCCAAGGTTCGCAAAAGGCACAATTTCGGGTCTTGATCCGATTGCCCGGCCTGCTTCCCGGGAAGGAGCGATTCGGCGACTGGCCTATCGAGGAATTAATCTCTGCGAGTCGAGTCCGCATTCGCTGCGCTGGCGGAACCAGAAACGTCTCCTGACCCCCTGGAGCGGTTCGTGGAATTCGAGATGGGGCTTCCGTGACTTGGGACTCATCGGCTTCTCTCTCCCTTGCAGCAGCAACACAGTAATTCTGGATCTCTTCGGACCACTCTTCGGGCTCCCGAGGATGACCCGCGTTGGAAACCAGACTAACTCAACAGATCCTGCGGCTGTCAACTCGCGGATATTCGTCGGCAACCTCAACACTCACGTCGTCTCGAAGGAGGACGTCGAACGTCTCTTCAAGAAATACGGGAAAATCATCGGTATGCAGCCTTAGTACAACGGGGTAGGGCGGTGACTCCCTCTCTCACCCCGGAGCATGCATGCGACGACGACTGGAACCTCGAGGGAAACGAGGAGCTCTTTACTTTACGTCCGGCTCCCCGGATTCCGTTCCCGGAAGGAGGTTTCGTCGTCGTTTCCCCTCTCCCCGTTTTGGAATTAGCGTGGGCGTGTTGAGCGTCTTTCGGAAAAATGTTCGTCACCCTTTTCTTTTCGAACGGAATCACGTCCGAGCCGCTCAGCAGAGCTCTGGTTTTCTCTCGGGAATTCGGCTGAATGAGGAATAAAAATGCTCAGAGCGAAATTGTGTGAAATCTAGGGATCTCCATGCACAAAGGATACGCGTTCGTTCAATACACCGATACGTACGACGCGAGGAACGCGATACTCGGCGAGGACGGCCGAACGGTAGCGGGACAAATATTGGGTAAGCGCCGAAAAACCATAACTCGGTTTGCATGCTTCCGCCCGCTTCCGGCTAGAGGAGCTATCGGAGAGCGTGGTAGTCGACGTCTTCCTCCCTGTTGTCGTTGTTGGCTTTGTTTTCGCTGTCATCGCCGCTTCCATTTCCGTCTCGTCAGTGTTGTCGTTGATGTTCTCGAAGTGATAGTTGTCTCCACCGGTAATCCTCTCCTCGCGCAGGATCTACAGGTAGTCTTCCATTTCAGCGATCTCACGTAAGAAAACTTGAGTGATGTAGATCCGGCTAGAACCCACTGCACCTCGCACCCTCGCCTACGTACGACTTGGCATATGGTCACTTTAGCCAAATGCCGAACTCCGAATGTTCTTGCATCTTGTGTTCCTTAATCCTTGAGACCTTGTAGTATCGGCCGATAAGCTTCTTCCTTGGGCCGATGCCTTGACTTGGCTTTGTCTTGATGTAATCTTGAGGCGGAGAGTCGTTCTTCTCTCTCGACCATTTTTCTTAGCGATAGAGGCGGCGGCGGCGGCAACTCCTGCCGTCGAATGCCGCCGACCTCGTCGACTTCGTCGCTTTCGTCGCTCATGTCGTCGAATTAGTACTTCATTTCGGAGGATTGAAATCTCTTGCTCGGGAATCGGATCTCGAGACGAACGAATCGTCCAACAGATCTATCGCTCGTTCGGTGGGACGTCGTTACGTCGGCGTCGTCGAAGAGTCACTTTTCCCTCGAGTCCTAGTGTAGATCACGGACAGCAGAGTACGAACTTCGCTCTCGAGATTACATCATTGCTTCCTCACCAGTTTATTAATACTATATGTAACCACGGTTTGCACTAATTGTACACTTAAAACATACGAGCCTACGATTAATCGAAGAATGATGACGAATGATCATAGTTTCTGTATGATATCGAATCGACGTCAATCATGTCATATTGGCCTGAGAACTTGACTGTATCTAGTGAATAACTTGACCGTATCAGCTCTCGAGAGGGTCCCTTGCTCCTTCGAGAATGATGGCGATTCCCGACGAGTCGCTTTCACAATCCCTTGGAAGACTTGATCGGAGTAAAAAAAATCGTCCGCAGGATCGTCTTTTAAGAATTGTGTCTCGTTTCGTATGCGTGAGTGAGTATCAGACCCCGTCTCGAACCCCCGATGATTTCCTACCGAACAGCACTCTAACACACCGTCGATCGACATCAACTCACATATTGGATTCTCGAGACCATCAGCGACGTTCGTTTGCTAACGTTGTTTCTCTCTGACACAACGATCGAGACGTTTGTACGGATCTCAATCATTTTCACTTGAGAGCACCTGAGCTGTTTTCTTAGCGTTTTTTTTTCTACGCACACTATCAGTCGACATGTTTTGACGCAACCTCTTACGGAGAATATTTGAATGGATTTTCGCCGCAGCGAAATGCCGTCGCAGTTTTTGGCAGCTGTGAGTTTTTCTTTTCAGACGTGAACATGGTCTCGGAGCCGAAGCCTCATCAGGTGATTACTCGAAAGCGTCTCAACCTTGCACCTGACCCGTAAGTTCTTATCCTTGAGCTTTGGAGTGCCTCCACTCCTCTCTTGTTCTAAACCTCCACATTGAGGTCGAACGCTTCTTCTGAGCGATAGCTCCTCCTCACTTCGGCTCGTCTGAGACTCTTTATTCGAACCTCTGAACTAAGAAGCCCCCGGGAAGAGTTTCCCGGGGACCGGGGATTCAAGTTTACTCCTCCTAATTAAACTCTCCTATCGGATCACCAGATGCCTTTTCAAGAATCAGGAAATGACTCCCATGCCGAACATAGCTCCTAGGAACTCTTTCGCAGGAATGCTCAGAAGGACTCGATTTCCATGCGGAGTTTGATCCGAACATTCGTGAGGCGGCAAGACGGCCGATCGAGCCCTTTGGTTCTGGAGGCTCCGGTCGACTCTTCGGGGTCTCATTTTCTCGTTACGAGACCGCTGTTGCCAAAGCTCGCGATCGACAGTATGGAACGACCTAAGTCGTGTCGCAATACCGCGCGGCGAGAGCCCTCCGCCGGCGCCTGGCTCTTTTTCTTTCCATTTCACAGCCGGGCACCTCTCCGGCTGGAGGATTTTCGGCTGCGGGTATTATGCCCGGGGCTTAGATATTTGGCTCCTTGTTGGTTTTTCGGTGTTCCTGTCCGACGAAACTCTAGGTCTGGATGTGTGGTTTGTTGATTTGTTTTCTCTATCCTGATCGTTCAGGGTACATACATGTAAGAGGCTAAAATATCTACCGGGCTGGAATGCTCAGCCATACTCAGTGATAATAATTATTTATTGCCGGGGTCAAAATTCCAACCAACAGCGCTCGAGCCCTGATTGTACTCGCACGGCTCATTCTAAAAGTGATAATATTAGTCAATGGCCTGCTCGAGGTGACAGCAGGGTCCACTCTTCTGAAAAACTTGTTCACCGTGAGAGCAGTTCATGCGGCTAGCGGTCGAGAACTTGATGCGAACGACTGCTGCATCTTGATGTTCGCCAGCCAGATTCATCGCTAATTTAGAAGCGAGTATTCGGCTCTTCTTTCTAGGCTTTGAGGGTTTTTACCTCGCTAGGGGCGGATGCCGGGCATAAAAACTCCGAGAGAAGCCTCTCCCATATTAGGCCACGTACCTTCACTCGTCGTTACATCATCGGTGTTCTGGCCGGGCGGGCTGATCTCTCGACCTTCGTTTGCTGTTGCAGCTCTTATCGCGCTCAATGCATCCACGAGAGGATTCCGCGAGTTCATCGTGGGAACGTCTCTGCAAAAAAGGACGCGGCTAATCCGCTCCATCATCTTCCCATGCATTGTGCTCGGCGTAGATCCAATGAATTGTTTCATCTGTCCCCACGTGCTGAACTACGTTCGATATCCGACGACTTCCGACGGCGAATTAAAATCGATACATTCCGAATGTTGTCCGAGGCAGGCGAGCGAAGACGCCTCGTCAGAGATGGGCACCGATCCATCGATTCGGATAGCCGCGAATACGAGCCGTATCGACCTTCTGTTTTCAGTTTCTCGGCGGTCGCGCAGACTCCGATTATCACGGCCGCGCTGCCAAGTCTGCTGCAAGGGGTCGGCCAGCAGAACGCTGCCGTCGCAGCGGTCACGCAGGCCGCCATTCGGCAGAATTTGGGCTCCCCCGTGAAACGGCAACGGACAGATAGCGCCGGGAATAATTTCTCTGGAAGTCGAACGAAAAAACAAAATGGTCTCAAGAGCCCGACCGGTAAACCGACGAGCTCGGTCTCAATGCCATCGATGCCTGGTACGTTCAAACGGAAGACGAAGAGAGAGAGAAAAGGAATGCGACCTCTGATTAGCTCGAATAATGGTTCTCGTGCCTCTGCAGACGCCGATATCCTTATCTGCGGGAACTGTCGAGAAGTTTTTCCCTCGCTGCAGAAACTCGTCGAGCACAAACGTCAGCGGTGTCGCCTCCGTTTTACGTGCAGATGCCAACCAAGCTCCATAACGGGTAAGTTGACGGAAGTTGCTTTCCGCTGACAAAGCGCTTGCGGGAAGCCCGCTGCACGCGTGCACTTTCCTACGCGCTTGTGCGCGTTGTCGCTCTTATCGCGAGCGTATTCCTTGCGGAGGAAAAGCAGCGACCGGAGGGAAACTGTTCTGCAAGTATAATCCGGGCAAGGGAGCAGCCGACAACAAGCCGAGCTACATCGGGTCCGGCCAAGGTAGCCAGTCGAGGGAAGACGGTGGAAATTCAAACGTGGGCGGCCCCGATATGCAGCGAGCCGATCGAAGATTCGAGCATAAGCTAGTCTTTGAATTTCAGGCGACAGCCCGGATTGTCCCGCACCAGTCTGCGCTCAGTGCTTGTACCGGTGCGCGTCGTGGTGGCAACTGGTCTGCCACATGGAGTCGACCCATGGCTTGGTGCTTTACCAGCACGCCCCAACTCTCGCTCAGATAAATAACAGTATCCTCAACAATAACAACAACAACAATAACTCATTCCTTGTCAACGAGGTCAGTGTTGAATCGACGTGGTCCTCCCCATTGAATTTTCCCCTGTGGCAATAGGCCATGTACGAAGCGGCGGAAGTTTCGAGGAGAAGGTCTCGAACCTTCGCCAGATACGGCTTGTGTGTATTCTCCGGACGAAGCTCGAGCTGGGCGGAACGTTCCCGCGTCAGACAAACGACGGGCGACTTTAGCTGCATGTTCGATACCTTACGCCCATCTATAATCCGGACTCAGGAGGAAAAATCGCTTGACGCTCGAGCGCACCTCTTAACGAACTCAGCAGTCGGGGTGTTGAGCTGGCTCATGACTCTAATGAGTATTTAATCCGTGAATGTTTCCTCCCTCATGGTGGATCTCAAGAGAACTCATCCGATCTCGGAGGGACTTGGAATGCGTGAGAGAGAGGGGGGACTTCGGTGAATCTATGCGAACGGAAACCGCTGCCGAGTTAATAATGAGCGCGGCGTCAGGCCACCAGGCGTACTTAATGAAGCCAAATGGAGTTACCGTAATTCGTCGGATTGCAACGGAAACGACCTTTTGCTTTCAAAACACCTTGGTGCTGAAAGTACCTGCTTCCAGACCGTGGTCTCGTTCGGATCGTTGCTCTCCCCGGTCAGCTGAGCACAACTAACTGGGGGAACAGAGATTCCCGGACTCCTAATGGAACTTCTTCGCGTCCTTTGAGACTGAACAACTCGGATTCGGAGTCGGCTCACTTTCGGATTGGAATCTCGTCGGCGGCATTCTGAGGAGCCCCTGCGTTTGATTTTGAGAGCGCAGATAGCCAAACTTATACGGCATCTTTCACTGCTCGTCAAAACATTTTTTATTATTCATCTCTTCCTTATCAGGGTTCAGAATTCCTGCAATCTAGCGGGATCTAACCTCCGATATTTTATTCCGTGTTTGGAACAACGTCCAAAGCGTAGCGCCGATGGTCGAGACGATCTCACCACCAAGGGAATTCCCCCTAGAATACCCAATGTCTAGATAAGGACTAATTAAGCATGCATGCAGAATGATGAATGTCGAGCTCGAAATGTACGATGGATGATAAAGCGGAAATCGATTGCAGAGCGACGACGGAGACAACGCGGGCTGTGCTTCGAATCACGATGACATGAGCGAGGAAAGTAGCGACATCCAGGGCATCAACTGTCTCAGCGAAAACATTTTGGTAAGTTTCACCCGGCGTTCTGTGCTTCTTGACGTTTCCCTCCTGGAAGAGACTGCATGTTGACGTGCAGATTGAGCGGAGAAAGAGAAAAGGGCGATTTCTCCCGACGCGACTGGGTTGTCTTGGCGTAGTCCTTGAAGTTACCTCCTGTCAACCCTGCTTAAGGATGTTATTTGGGTGAGCAGGGAAGCAACGGCGAGAGCAGCTCCGAATGGCAATCGCATCGGATTTTGTAGCGAGTCGAGAGCTGGCTCCCCAGAATGCGACGTCGGCGATTCCGAACGCGCCGGGGCTTGAGGAACCGACAGTGTCTTTAGCTTAGCCGTTGCAGCGATGGGGGAAGCAATGACAGATGACTGACACCTGCCGATCCGAGTTGGTGCTCAGCTTATAACACCGAAAAGTCGAGCAATCACAATCTCAATCAATTATGCCTTGACCACAATGGACTCCACCAAGGGGGGGGGGGCTGGGCTCAATCTCAGAGCGCGGACCGGTCCGCTCGCGTATTTGCTTGCTCTCTCAACGACTCGTTTGCCGGACAGGCACGATTTCGCATGCATCGGACATCGCGGTTTCCCGCCTCGGATCGATGAGGCTCCTATTCCGGGAAGCCGTCTCCACCGTCGGTTGAGCAATTGAGTCGGGAGCTCCCTGGTGACGCGTGCGGACGCGCGTTCGAAGAGTGTCCCGAGAAGCGACTTCATGCTTTACATATGTAGCCACCGAGAGCAAAATATAGAAGGAATTTCGGGTCCTCGAGACGGAAAGTGTTTTTAAACTGAGTGAGATGGTAACACTCGCCCGCACTTAAAAGCAAGCAGTCACCTAGCTAGCCGGGCTGCGAACCGGCCAGCTACTAGAGAAAGCGCCGAGCACCTAGAGCAAGTCAAACAGACAGTTGTTCAGTGGGTCGGTCGGTCTCTCCGTCCGTCCGTCCATCTGTCCTTGCGTCCGAGCAAGCTGATGTTGTGTGCATGGGAATGTATATAGTGGTCATTCATTTACTCAACTATTAATAGAACGCTGCTGCTTTCTTATACAGGATGCAGGCGGTAGTTCTCAGCTGGCATCCTGGGAGAGATCTCGAGCTCTAGATTTTTTTTTAACATGCCTTATGTATGAGCTATCGTAGAAGCATCCCGAGTTTCATCGGAAAGCCTCACGCTGTAGAGTTCTCCATCCAACCAGCCAGCCAGCCAGCCAGCCAACAAACATTACCCAGAAGTGTTGGGCTCTGAGAGGCTTGTCATATCCTCTCGGCATCATTGCTCTCAAATGAGAGTGTTCTCCATCAGTGGTTGGGTGAAGCCAGTCCCTTCGAGCAAAGGCTAATGTATATCATTTTCTTTCTGCAGGAGAAACAAGCGACCAGTAGCGACCCCGGATCCTTCTTGGAACAAGTGGAGCTCGACAAACTCCCTCTAGAACTGAGTCAACCGAAGGATTCGGAAGTTTCGACCGAAGACGGTGAATCCTGAGCGAATTGTTTATTTTTAGTATTGCAATTGAGTCTCAAATCTCCAGGGGAAGAGTAAACCCAAAAGTTGATGGTGACGTCCGCTTCCGTCAACTGAAATTCGGTCGACGTCATCGGGAAACTCATTCGTTGAGCGGCAGGAGTCGAACTCGCTGTCAATGCTCTTCAAAAGCTGCTCCTGATAGTGATGATGACGATCGATAGCTCGCATTGTCTGGCTTCTTAGAATGAGTGATTCATCATTTCAGTCAACCCATGACACCCGAGCGTTCGTTCATTCGTTCGTTCGTTCATTCGTTCGTTCGGTCGGTGAATCGATCAGGGCTATGGCGGCTTGATTGAAATAACTCCCACTCGAACACTCACAGCTTTCGTTGTTATGTGGTTTAAGTATGTGTAAATAGTGTAATTCGTTCGATGGAAAAAAGTCTCACGCGAGAGGGTGATGTACCTCATATTTAAAGCCGCCTCGCAGGCTTCTGAGCCGTTCCCGTAAGCCCCCCGAATATGTTCTGCATATTTGGAAGCTCATATGGAATCTCCTCACGCAACCGGAGGGAACGAGCTCAAGAAGCTGACGCGAATGCCTCCCTCTCCTTTTTCCCAAGAGGGAAACGGTACAAGGAATCTGAGGACGAGCATTATCATGGGAAAGAGGAGACGAAAGCTGACGGCAGCCGGTCGATCAACAGACAGTGACTTTACTAGGCGATAGAAAGGAGAAAACGGAGCGCGCGTTCGCGGGAGGCGACGCGCGTCAATGAAGTCTTCCATGTGCATCATATCTTTCACTAAATAAATGCACTGCGTTCAGCAATGTATGTCCACCATATCTTCGGCTCGTTCTTTATTTCTCCACGTCTTCCCCACTTCTCCCCCACGTCTCCACCCCCTGGGTTTCGAATCCTGAGGATCGAGACGGGTCAGTTCATAAAAACCAGAGGATGAAGCTGGTGAGCTCTGAGCACGGAATCGGTGTTGGTCAGAGCTATTGTCAAAGGCATAGTTCCAGGTCAGAGCTTAGATTCGGACACATGACAAGAAATTAGAGAGGTTGAGTACCGCGGGCGAGAAGAGGGATACCGAGCGCGACGCAACAGCCAACAAATCAGCCAGCGCGCCGTTAGATAGCCAGCAACTCACGAAACAGGTAAGGAGGCTTGAAATAGCTCTCGCTCGCACGAGCCGGTGATCAGCCGCCGCCGATTCGCGGCCGCCCGTCGCATCTTGGTCTCGGCAGCGGCGTCAACAATGACCGTTAATCACATATTAAATACCGCCGTTTCTCCTCCGCTCTATCGTAGGGTGAGTAGCCGCTGGTTGTTGGCTGGTCAGATGGCTTTTGGGATGAGCGGAGTGGTGGCAGAACGGCTATGGGGAAGCAGCTATTTCGAGATGCAGCGAAGAGAAACAGGTGTGTTGAACGATGAACACGGCGTTATCTGATTCCCTCGCTCGCAGCCGGCCGCAGACGCAACCAACGTCTTCGTCGTACTTCCGATCCCAATATTAGAACCGTATTCCTGGGTGGTTATTCCCATCTTCGACTGAACTCGTACTTCCGCAGTCCGGAGCGACGCGTCTCGGGAATGGTTTGAGCTGATCAGAATGACGTGAAGCCGCGGTACGATGATTGAGGAATTAGTGAAGTTCAACGTTCGTCATTGCGCTCACGCCGGCGATTCAACGCGATCTGCGGCTTTCGAGGATGATAAGGGAAAGGCGTCACGATTTTGAAAGAGTCGGGTCAGCTGTGGAATGGGCTTATTCCACGTCGAGATTGGAAACGGAGCGACGACGCAACCAATAAAGCCCTCTAAATCGAGTTAACCCTCCCCTAGAGGACTGTAAATTTTGCTTCGGGACACCCAAGCAAAGAAACACGAAGGTCGGTATCAGGCAACAGAGTCCTGCCTGTATTCTGCGAGGCTTCGCAATGTGTGTGACTGGCAGACTGTGAGTCCTCTCCTCCGATGGGAGCTCCGCTCCCCGGCTGCCGCAATCCCTGAAATCCTCGGTTGTCCGGAAGAGAGGACTCAAAAAGTCCTCACGCCCTTCGCATTCGTATCAATGTCCTTCGCTTCATATTCTCTTTGGCGAGTTCTCCTCGATGCTGGGCCTGAAACTCTGTGTTTCGAAGGTCCTCCTAAGATTCCCCGACGCATGAGCACGCCTTCTGAGGAACCCCATCTCGAACCATCGATGGGAAACTGCGACTGATTGAAGGTCTTAGCCGCTCAGTCTTGACGATCGGAGGTGATGCACGTACTCCGCAGCATATGGACTATTTTTTATGCATGGGGAACCTGGAAGGACCGCTGATTCTCAATCGTTCGTGAGTCCGTCTCCGGTGCGTTTGATGGAACCTACTTCATTCAATCTGTATATCGAAGGAAAGGTTTCTTGCAATCTCTTTCCGAAATGGAATTCGTTGTTTCGTGTCGAATTCGATTCGCTTGCCGTGACCTGGTTTGATTCTCCCTAGATATTCGATATGTGTCAATTCAGCGATGGGATTCTCGAGGGCACTTGAAAGGGGCGCTTTCGAGAAGCGTCACAGGAACAGGGAACCAAAGTCCCGATCCTTATAACTGGCTTTCTCGAGCTTCATCCTCAACTAAGCTTCCAAGATGCTCCCTGGTCACACCCACGCAAAACGTGTTGATATTCTCGTGCAGGGATTTAGCACTGCGTCGCTCCGTGTCAAAAGACGATTTGTTTGTGGAAGCGAGACGACCAGCACGAAAGAGAACGTATCCTTGAGCCTCTCACCAAAACGCTTAGAGGCGTAACGCCGAGGGTTTTCTCCGGAGGATGAGCCCTATCCACTTCTCCGACCTTACGAGAAACGAACTTTCTCGTCGCTGAGCCCTTCCGAGGAAACTTGCGATCGAAGCAATGATCTTGAGTAAAGCGCAGATCCTAGTCTCCCTGGACAGAGTGTTTGTGAGAATTCGGAAAAACTTTCTGAATAAAACGCGGAAACCTCCGCCAAAAAGCCCCAGGGCTATCCATAGATTCTGATACGGAAGCACGTAAGTTCAAGACACCTACTCTGGACCGAGAACGAGTGACTAGATGCACAAGGCGGATGCACGACCCTTAAGCGATTCCGTTGCCGTGTCGAGAGTCGAGACCGCTTTGTTGTATACGGTTTTAACTCGAGCGAAGTCGAGTACGGCTGGGGGGGGATCATCCCTCGGATTATCAAACCCGAACGATGTGAAGAGGACCGGGGGCAGGCAGGGAGGCGAATTCCAGCGAAAGAGTCAGCAGAAGGCGAATGCGGAACAACGCAAAAAACGTACAGCGCAGCGGAATCGGGGGCCTCACGGCTGCGGAGCGAACTCTCGCTCAGAGCGATGCTAGAAGACGAAGGGAAAAACGGCTCGACGTAATTGTTTGAGCGTTCCCGTATTTCGCTCTCCTTTATTTATACATACATTTGCTTTGTCGCACTCGGTCGTGTCTGGCGGGGCATGCAGTTGTAGGATTTCCGCTGCATTGCACCGAACCATCACTGTTTGCGCTGTAGCTGCGGCCGCTAGCGCTGGATTATTACGGCGACAACAACGACGAGGGGACTGACTTGAAGTGAAAATCTGGAGAGTGTGAGCTGTCGGCTATCCTCTGCCGTGGTAGCTTCGAGGATGACTGCCGTCTCCATGGGCCTGACGGCAGGCCGGTTGGTGATTTGGGCGGCCGGCCGCAGAGCAACGACGACGCCGAGGAAACTACGCGGTCCCCCGGGACTTTGCGGACGGAGAGGGCATGGAGAGCTCGGGCAACCGTCTGCGGCAAATGGTGATGGTGAATAGAGAAAACAGGCAGAACACAGCGAACAGAAAATTAGACATCCGAGGGATTACACTCGACTGCGACTCCTGACGTAATATCGCATCCGCTTCTATCCATCGGCATTATTGTGAATTTCCAGCAAATAGAATCTCGTCCCATCGGTCCCTGGACAAACGTGATCCCCGGACTCCCGACCGATGCCTTATGCAGGGATTTTCCAAAGAGGTACGGACGGGGCTACCGTTCCAGGGACCGATCCGACGCTGGAATTTCGTTCGAGTTCCGACTTCCGAGTCATGGAAGCTTCCCGACGTCCGGAGTTTCGCTTCAGGGGTGGTCGAGTGCATTCCAAGAGCACGGCTACTGGCGGTCAGCTCTTTCCCATTCCTTATGGTGAGGAATCCCGTTGGCTATCGTGACCTATTGTTTATTGTATACCTAAATCGAGACCGCTGTCGCATGTCAAGTGGCTACCGTGGGTATCATTTCAATTCTGATCGCAAACAGCGACACTTCCATTCACAATGTTTCTTACGGAAAAGCTGACTCGCGGAGGATACGAGAGAGGATTTTTTCCTGATCAAAGACTCGATATGAACCCTTAAGGGATTGCGGCATCCGGGGGAATGCTCGGATGGCTTCATTCTCCGCATGTCCTGAGGAGACAACGGATAATGTGGATCTCAATGCAAGGGTGTTCCCGTCGAGATTTCGCGTGCAGCACGAGACAACAGACGTCCCAGCTGGAAGAGGAGAGAACAGCCAAGTTATGCAGATGGGGGTTTGAAATTGATGCCAGGACGAGAATTTCTCCATCAGCCCTGATATGTATCATGGAATTCGGAAAGCCTCGCGTACAGAATTCGGCTGATCATCTGTATTCGTATATTCCCAAGGTATCTGTCGTTTTCTGCGAGAGGAAAACCGGAGAATCGAGTCGTCTCTCGATCGTGTGCTCTGACTTCCTTCCTCATCAATGATCATCCCTGCAATCTCGAGGTACCGGAGATTTCCACGCCGAGATTCTCTCCGCAGAGACTTCGTGATCGACGTCGTGGGTTCTTGAGAATGACTACGCCAATCAGACAAAGACTCCGATTTCTCTGTGGTCGGAACTCTCTACCGCGATCGGAGAGCCGAACTATCCGTCTGGAGATTCGAACTCGGGAGCGGGAAAATTCAGGCGTAGCCTAGTACATATCGAAAGTCACTTGGCTCAATTCCCTGAGAGAGGCACAGCAGATTTTTCCCGGGGGTTCCGCGAATCCGCTTCTCGGAGACTGTACGGCGCTGCACGGTGTCTTGTTCGTTGTTAGCTCGCGGAGACCTATGCAAATTCATCGGAAGCAAAGTTGTCGGCAACGCTCTTTCAGGCGCTGTCAAGCGCACGCTC